CAAAGAAACGATGAATTTTACATTATTTCCATTGGTGAAAAATATGGAAGAGAGTCCAAAATATACACAGGGTGTAACAAAAAGATATACAGAAAATTTAAATTTAGTTTCTGGGGTCTAAAATAAGTCGATCTAAGCTAACTTGCTTACATAAAAAATGGATAGTACAACTAAAAACCTTACACTTATATAAAGTTCAAATTTTAAGTAATTTTGTGCAAAAAAAACGACTTAACATATTTTTATGAAAGTGTATATGGAATATTAGTACACAGTGAATAATAAAATGAAATTAGTGGCATTTAAAATGGTTTTAATTATATAGGTTTTTAGAAGGGTTCCGCCCCACATTAAATCCCCTACGTTTTTAGACAATACAATTCAGTTAAAAACAAAACACTACTGAAATCCTATATTTGTTTTTAAATTTTTTGCCTGTTATAAGATCCTGAAGGAAGGTCATAATGAAAAATAAAATAAAATTGTTCTATTGACCTTAAATCACTAAATATTTGTTCACGATTTTTTTCCTATTCTACAACTTCTTGGTTGCTCGATAATTCAATGAAAAATTGTAAATGAAGTTATAAAATATTGTAGGATTGCAGTGGTGTCCTGCTTTTAAATTCAATGTATTTTATTGTCTAAAAAAACAAAATTAAAAAACATAAAATTAAAACAATTTTAAACACCACAAACTCTATTTTATTAGTCACTTTATAGTAACATCCCATAAATATTTTGACAAAAATATGTTAAACCGTCTTAGAGTAAGAGCACAACATCCAAATTTCAACTATCGCATCCTGTAACTTTTTTTACAATTAATTTTTTATGAATGCAGGTTAGCTTTAATCGACTTATTTTCAACCATATTTTATATCGCATCTTTTTATTGCGCCCTGTATACAAACTGCTTAACAAACTGTCTATTAATGTAACACTCTCACTATCAAAGTTCAAAACCAGAATTGAGCAAATGTCTGGAAAGGGCATACCAGTCAGTTGCAAATTATTTGAATGATATTTCATATTACACAGGGCAACAAAAAAATATTTTTTTTTGTGCCTGGGATTTTAGAGCTGATTTTAACTATATTTGGGACGATAAATTAGTACATGCAATCCGTTTTTCTCTATCAGTTCTAATTTTTTAGATACATCTACTTATCTACCAATGTGGTTCTTATTCAGTATATTCATTTATGAGAGTTCTAAAATTATTATATATATAAACATAATAAAAAGGTCTAAACTGCTTTTCAATGGTTTATTTCACGATCAAGTATTCTTAATTACAATGTTGCTGTGGTATTGCCACTGTCTATTCGCGTAATGCTCACTGCGCTGGTCTGCCTTCTCCCGCTCGTCCATCCAGACACGCATGTGTATGGACTTCAAGAATGTGTGGTGGGAAACAGAGGAACACCGCTAACATATATTCATTAATGTAGGTACAATGGTTTTATTGTCAATCTGTAATTGAGTAAATTCCAGGTAAATCTATAAATAGTGGAACCATTGCCTATCAGGTTCCTGAACTGACCCTTTTAATCCCCTAACTCGGGTAAGTCTCGTCAGTTTGTGCGTTCCTACTAATGAGAGTAGATCGAATTCGGCGTGTTATTTTATGTTAAGAAACATAAATATTTTTCTGGCTAGACATTTTATTTATAAAAATATCTAAACTTAAAACAGAATATTTTATCCAGTTTCATGTAAACTTTAAGGAAGAAGTACTATCAATTTAAGTTATTCCTATATCTGTTCAAACTCACATTTTTACTCATATTTTCCTTTACAAGGAATAATAATAGTAATTTTAAGCATTCTAAAACTACATCTAATAATTCTTCAATTAATTTATGAAACATATGCAACTTTATCCACAATTTATTAGTTTGGTATTGTAAGTTTTGCAAAAATCCTAGATTTTTTTTTCTAAATATATTTTTTCTAGTTTCTTTACACATTTTATATAAATTTGTCAATAATTGTCAATTTTTTTCTCGATTTAAAAATCAAAATAACATTTTTAGGTTCTAAATTTCTTTGATATATATTTTTTCTTATTAATTTTACTGTAAATTGAGATATCTAACCGTAATATCACTGTTATGCCAGAAACATCCCATTTAACTTCTAAGTATGTTTTGATGTGTCTGACATAAATGGTACGACACTATGATGTTTCTAAAGAAACATTTCTGGAATGATTTCTCAAGAACGTTTTAGAAACATCGAAATTATGTATAAGTAGGGTAGATGACCCAGTAATTGCCAGTGTCCCGGTAATTGTCGTTTTCAACTTTAAAAATCTAAAATAAATAACACCACCTATGTTCTGATAGCACATTCATACAATATATTTGAGAAGAGAAATAATTTGTTAATGTCGAGAGCTGTTATGTGTGGCATCTAGTCTCTTGTTGTTATAGTGTTGTGAAATTGAATAAGGTAAGTCTTGTAACAATCCATTTTTGATTTTGTAATCATAAATAATTTTACAAGTTTTACTTTGAAATGTAATTCTTTGGGAATTAATTAAATACATATAATTGGTATTTCTCTTATAATTAACTCTAGTACCATGTTTTTTGGGGGTGTCAATTACTGGTCTTTATTTTTAAAGTAAGATCAATAATTGACATAATGTGGCAATTATTGGGGTATTTTTAGAAAAAGCTATTCATTGATTGATTATGGTTTAAATGGCTCAATTACAACACAGTAGTAGTTTATGAATAATATTTTATTTACAACCATATATGTAATGCTGTCATTACTAACGTCATTGAAGGTTGGGAATTGCCACATTCCACACCTCTACTTCCCGCTCTCATTTCCCGCCCTCATTTCATCTATTATAGATGAATATTTTTTATATTTAAAAAAATAACACATTTTTTTGACAAATTTTATAATACCTATTTAATGGCAAACAATAAAAAATAACAATGAACTAAAATACAACAAACTACTTATTGATATTTTTTATTCGCGAATTTAATATCCGACTTTATCTGACATTTATTTATATTAGTTACAATTGTTTACCCCGTAATCACGGTAACAATATATTTACTTGATTATTCTGAGAAAACCGCGCGCTTGGTAATTTGTCGTTAAATGTAATATTTTAGGTATGTTCAGAACAAAATAGAGATTTATTAACTTTGATCGAAATATGATGGTTGTAAATAAAATAGTATACAAACCTGGGTGGGAAGTTTCATTCCTGTCTCGGGATCATAGCTAACCTCGACGATTCGCGTCTCGGTGATCTAACTAATTTCCCGACAGAAATGAAACACTTCCCACCTCGGTGTGTAATAATATACTATTAATATCCTCTCAACTTACCTAGTAATTGGCATGGCATGTCAATTTCTGATTCGGTAGTGGCAATTACTGGGTCATTAATATTTTGTTTTTATTTTAAGTAAAACATGAATAGAAGAAAAACAGCACCAACTGGGAAACCATTCTTCCAATATAGTGAGGAATCTATGATGCAGGCAATTGTTGCTGTACGGAATGGAATGTGCTATTCTACTGCTAGTAAACAATTTGCCGTCCCTAGATGTACCCTTCGAAATAAAGTCACTGGAAAAAACACCCGAAAGAAGAATTTATACGTATTGTGAGCTAATTATTCAATTGTTCATTAAATACTGCATCAATTGTATTTTCAGTAAAGGTTATTCCAATTTGGTTAAAATAACTGACTCTAATCTTGGCGATTACTTGACAAATACCATTTATAAGAATTTTTTAATGGTTGATACATCATAAACAGATAGTTTTGATTTATCTGAAATTAGTAATGCTTTTGATTTTGTCCATCTACTTTACATCGGTGGCTACAGTTTTCCATGACCGAGTTCACTGTTAATAGAAATTAGAATGCTTGTTAAGCGTTTTTTTCACCGATACGAAAGCTTTAATATCAGCGCCTAGCTTCGAGGGACATGAAGGAGGAAATAATTACAGATACTGGATTCCCACAATCCTAGAAAAAATCGGAAGAACAATAAGAGAGACAAAATAGAAAATCTAGCTGTAATGGGTATTCTCGTTTCTAGTTAAAATTTTTATTAAAAGGCGCACACCTTCAATTGAACAGCTAACTTTAACAGTTATGATAGGTGATTTTAAATTACATCGACAATGCTTTGGAGAAGAGCAAGAAAATTCCGTGGGAAACGGCTATTATTTTTTAAGAGTGTGCTTTTGTATTCTTAAACTAGATAGAATTCGTAGCATTGCAATAAGGATGAGCATCAAAATGCAAACGTCGATGGTTAACATTGAATGAAACATCAATGAAAGAAGACATCGAATGTTTATTGTAAATAAACTGAGATATTAAACCTATAAAATCAAATTTTAAGATTTTAAACTATCTAAAATTTGACACTAGATCCTCAAAACTTTCGATAATATAGGCTTTGAAACATATCAGGTTCCTTTGTATTTCACTACGTGATTTTCTGAGTAGGTTCAGGTTTTGACAAATATTTATGCAGATTTGGGAAAATGTAAAATTTTTGTACTCAACAACGTGTATTTTACCATTGTTTTGCTTTTCTTTTAGGCCTGATGATGGCCTTAGTGCCGAAACAGGTGGCCATATAATTTTACTGAATTAAAGAATGTATGTAGGATTGATTTAGGTTTATATTATAATATCGTTTCTTATTGAGTCGTCTAGAATCAAAACCCGCTATTCGCGTTTCGGATAACTTTTCAGGAATCGCAAAAACCGTAGCGTCAAATTGTTAGGATTAATTTTTGACTTTTTTACCAGAACTAATAGATATGTTGTAATCATAAAAAATCAACAAAAAAATTATAAGGAAAATGAGTAAGCAGTGAGCAAAAATTTCACATAGCGTGTTTTGATTTCAATTTTGTTTGGAAATCAAATTCGAGCAGATATGTCATATAAAAGATAATTATTGAATAAAAACATAGAACATTGCTTTAACATTAATTTTTCAAACAGCTAAATAGATTTCTTCAGCATATTCACATGGCAAATCATCTTCTGGAATTGGTTCTTTGAGATTATTCTCATCAAAATTTTGAATTAAATTTTTGTAGAAGTTGAGTTGTTCCAGATCTTTCCAAGGTTTAGTCGTTCCGTAGTGCTTCTTCAGTAGTTCATCGATACTCTTTAACTTTTTGTCATTAATTTGTTTACCCCCAGTTACTGTTGAGGGTTTGCTAGAGTTAGGAGTACCACTCCCTTTTTTGTTGACAGTCCGCGGAATATCACATGAAAAATCTTTTTGAAGGATTAAACTGGAAATGCTAAGATCCAGGTGGTTTTAGATACTTTTTGGATTCTTCAAGCCAGTCGTATACAGTCTGAGGGTCTGCTAAGTTCCACGCAGTAAAGTTTTACTCAATAAAGTTCACATACTCTTCAGGTTGTACTATCGCCTCTTTCTTTTTTTTTTCAATCTGGGCAAAAACCCTATCGGGAGGTATGAAAGAATGTCCCACTATGGGAAAAATTATTTCTACAGATTCAATATGCTTGTTAATCGAGAAAAACCATTTCATTAGCATTGTGATGAGTGTGGTGTTTTTATTTTGACCACCACACCCATCGACAATGAGTCGGAGGGTAGAAAAGTTTCCCATATCTGTATTGCACAACCTGTAGTAAATAGCACTAGCAATTTCATTACTCCCTTTTGGAAGCTGCGATTCGTTTCAGTAGTAACAATGAACGATCCTACCACAAAAGTTATAAAAATTAAGCTGTGATGAAAAATATGCAGTCAGGCATCTTAGATAATGCCATATTTTTCTGGCAGTCAAAAGACATTCTCAGTGTTCCTTCCTCCTTTGTCCTTAAAATTTCAAAAAATGCTGCAGCATTAAGGTTGTGGTATCTTCTCCTCTGTCATTATTTTTTGCTTTTTTCTTCGTTATCTTCTTTCTTATATCTTTCAGAAAATTCTAAACATTTTGAACAAACATCGGTTCTACGGCTACCAAAACCTATATTGTAGCATGTATTGAATGTTTCTAAAAAATCATTCCTTTACTTTGAGCGCACCATCATCACAGATTCATTGTATATTCTAAACATTTATTTAATGTTTAACTCAACAGGCAGATAGACAAGCGAAACTGTTTTCCTCTACAATAATGTGGTTCGCTACATTTAAAGGATTCAATGAATGCTTGAACCTTCCTTTTCCGCTCGGTATTCTTATGGCTTTTATAATCACCGCCTCTGTTTTCTTTTGCAGTCTGCCCATCTGCGTGAAAATGTCGCGCTAGTACTTTTTAACTCCAAGTACTTTTAAGGTATCCTTACACCATCATTGTTCTTTCTAATGAAGTATTTAAATGTCAGGGTTTTTCTTGATTCATTCAGATTTGGATTAGGGTGTTTAGGTTTGTAGACCGAACAAAATTTAATTATAAAGTTATCTTGATCAATCTTGTTATGTGATTGGTAGAATGCTTTATGGAAGTGGAGAATATCTGCCATTGTGAGTACATAGTTTGCATTGCATCAATTTCTTGTCATGATTGCAATCAGGGTATTGTGGTAATTGAGAGGCAAAATATCTGTAACAATTACAGTATCACTTTACACAATAATTACCATTCATTATCAACACGTGGCATATTAATAATACATTTCCACTTAGCCGGCTGCCTGGGTCTCTTCCTCGAATTTTCTGGTGTTGTAGGTTCAATTGTTTTTGTACAATCACTCATAATTCACTCTATTTAACACCACACATTAATAAAAAATCAAAAGTTATAACAAGTTATAGCGGGTTTTGAATCTGATTCATCGGAATTATAGCAATCTTTGACAAGCAATTTATACGTTAAATGGCGGGGTTTAAATTAAACTATATACACCATTCGAATGGCGGGAAACAGTGATATTAAAAACCACAGAAAAGTGAAAATCTCTAAAAATGTTATATATTGATTTCATATTAATTTGGTATTTCTGTGTTTTTTACGTGTTCATTTTGTTTTAAAATTATTTATTGATTGCTTTAAATAAATGGAGTTCTCTAGTCAATTTTAATTTATATTATGTCTGATTCTAAGTGGTTACTACCCCTTTTAACCGCACACCATTAACGTCTCAATCCAATCTTAGCTTATTATGTCTTAGTTTACCAGGTCCTTTTTTAAACGCCCTCAAGCCAATCGCATATGACGTTATAACTAATGACACCAGGTATTCGAGTGAATATCAGACCTCTACAATTTTCATTAGATATTGGAAATGAAAATGTTTATTCCTTGGTAATAAGGACAAAAACGCTCAAAAAATTACGTTCTGCATAGTTAGTAAAATCAAAGTGTTGATAATAATGTTTTTCTTTGGACAAAATTCAATGGCTGTTGTGCTATTAGCCATGGGAGTAGTTGTTTTCGTTCGACGTTATATGAGTTATTCTCATTTACTCACTACTAATGGAGAAGGAGAAAATAAAGTTAGAGACAATAAGGAAAAGAAAGAATTCTTAGAAAATGTTGATAGGTACGTTAAACAGTGTGGAATAGCCAAATGGAATAAATTCGGTAATAAATAAACGGGGGGGGGGGGGGGGGGGTTCGGAAAAACACGTCGATTGGTATTTTTAGTGCGCATTTTTAAAAAAAAATTATACAGGGTGTTTCATGTAACATTGGCCAATATCAACTTTATTATTTTAAATGCAACACCCTGTATATTTTTCAATTTTTGGATTCTTCAAAAAATTTTGAACATTTAATGTACTATGTCCTATACCTGTTTCGGAAATATTAAATGTTTTCTGATTTATTGCAAAAATTAACATTAATATAAGGCGCAGTAGCAAAGCCAGAAGGACTTAAGTCTAGCAGCGGTTTTTTTTATCTGCCTTACATGTCCAAGCTCGCGAAACTGCTTTTCTATTTTACTAATTGTCCCTTGGGATATACGCGACAAATTTCGATTTTTTTTATGAAATAAGCGAGTAACTTCTATTTAAATCCGTGTGTTTACATAACCAATCATCTGTAGAATTGTTATTATGTGCATTTCTGTTAATTGAACCATTTTTCTGATATGCAGTTTCAAACGACTATAACACTGACAACTACTGTCATGCAGCCAGATAACAATTTGCTAAGGTCAGGCGTTTTAAACAAAAGTAAACAAATCTTTATGTATAGCTTATTTTATTTCATAATATCATAAAAAGGAACGCTGAAATGATTTTTGCTTATTTTCACGTTATCAATACCTAAATAGGAAATAAGTATTGAGTGTGTTGTAGCGAATTTCTGTAATCAAACAATTTTATTTTGCTTGGACATGTTTTCATTGCACCGGTGATGCAAATACAGGCTAGTCTTTGTACCTTTGAGATATAAGCTCTCGTAGTAGCTGAACTACACGTTACAGCTCCATAAGTGATGTTTAACATAGGATTTCATACAATTATAGCCACTTTGTAAGTTTACAAAACTGTTCCATAAGATTTATTATCAAATACTTTTTCAACAGCACCAAACAAACATAAATATGCATTACGTTATGACTATTTATTTAAACAAAAGCGCTGAACCTAAATCATGAATAAAATTTGGTTCTAAAATAAACATTGTATTTCTAAGTTCAAAGTTTGATAATGCATGGTAACAGTTTTTTTTTTATAAAATTATGAATGGAACTCAAATGAGACCAAACAAATAATATTCTATCTGAAGAATACTGACATGTCTTATCAAGTGAGAGTAGATAACATAATTGATTTATGGAAAAGTCTTGATAACGATACTACGAGTAGAAAACAGAATATTTACCTCGCCTAAGTTTAAAATATAAATGTTTTATTTAAGTCATCTAAAACACTTATATTGAGTTATATTTTTTTTATTCCGTGATCTGTTATATATGCCATAAAATATTGTATAATATTAATATTAAAAGTAGCATAATTTATAGATGTTTCATATTAAAATAATGAATTATTCATATTATAAAATAGGAATTAACAATTCTACTAAACAATAATAATATATAATTACTTATATACATTATACAGGGTGGCCAGACCAAAACAAAACAGCCATTATCGGGAACTGCGTCAATATTTTAGATGAACGATCGGGCACGTCAATTTATGATTAAAGGAGGACATCTTTCTATTATATCCTTAACTGTCGTATGTCATTTCCCTCCACTCCGTCACTTTACTAAATACAATTAAAACAAAGAAAGTACAAAGTTTGACAGATCAATGGAGTGGTAATTTTCTGAAGAATTCAGTAATTAGACTATTCATCTCATGCAGTTTACGCCCTTTAGCGGGATAAGAAACTGTTGCAGAGTGTGATACTTCATTTGAAAATAAATTTTTTAAGTAATTTAATGCACAAAATCAACCAAAAGAAAAAATGTATGCTATCAAATAAAAGGTTGGATTTTTTCGACATTAGATGTCAAAAAGGTTAAATAATAACACCGAGGCGTTAAATCTTAGAGCTGAAAATAATTTAGATTCCATAGCAGTACCTATTTTGGATAACCTCTTCCGCATCAGGGGTCTATTAGATTCTTAGAAAAAAGGACTGTTTATCACATCAAATTTAAACCTAGTTAGGTACTCTTTATTCAGCCGAAAATGTTCTTAACAGCAATATTCAGGTAAAGAATCGCTTATTTCTCTTAGATCATCCCTTCTTCAGCGAATAATATTTAAATTTTGTAATAATAATAACAACATAAATCCATTTGGACTTACCTTTTTATTTAACTTCAAGTAATGGTTAGAATTAACATACCTGCAACAAATAAGAATAATTAATTTCATAGAAATAATAACGCTAGAAATAATAATTACAAATAAAAAAGAACAATAAAAAATCAATCAAAATGGGTCAACACATTTAATCAGTTCAAGCAAAAGAAGTTTCTAATTTCCTTAAAACACTAAGCCGTTCGCAGCTCTCAAGAATATAAACTAAAGAATTACCGAGTAATTTTAAATGGAACTCGCTTCATAAATAAAAGAGATATTAACGTGGCCCTGATCCCATTGTCACCCGGTAGACTGTAAGCTGTTATGGCGTAGTGGTTTCAGTTCTTTACTACCAAGGGAAATTCCGGGGTACAAACCCAGCTGAAGGCAAATTGAAGTAAAAGTCATAAATTCAAATCATTGTGGTAATAATTACTTTTAAATTATTTTTTGGTCGGTTGTAGAAAAAATATACTGTACACCTCTAGTGGATTGTCCGCATCGTATTCAGTCGATTGATGTAGCTGTCAAATGCACTCTAGTTACACAAACTCCAATTTTATAATAGTTTACATTGTAATTAATTAATGACTAAATCCTGTAACTAAACTACTCTTACAGGTACTCCTTTTTTTCTACTTTAGTTTGTAGCACTTTTAAATTAGACCATCCGAACTTTTAAAATATTCGCAATTCGCAAATAATGAACCGCTACCATAGTAAATCTAAAAAGCGTCGCTGGTTGCCTCTAAATCTTCGGCAAACAAACGTTGGTAACTGACGTTGACGTACAACATGCAAAAACTCGATTATCTGCTATCCGCTTTGGCGGCAATTTTCCACGTTTACTATTAAGTACACGGAAATTTACAATCTCTATGAACTTTA